CTTCCCTATGGATGGAATAGGGAGATTGGGCCATGACCCACCAAGCGGGCCCAGTGCGGATTGGCGGGTGCTAACGACTGCAGATGCAGCCGGGACCAACGGCTTAACGTGCCTTCCTAAGCACAGGGGAACTCGAGATAGAAGATTTTTGGTCACCCACCCAATGACCGACCACTGCGAACGTAACTTCATAGATCGCAGCCGAACGCGCTTACCACCCGCGCCATCGTAGCTCCTCAAAGACAATACCCACTTATTGATAAAATATTTATATTTCTAGGAGAAAACTAGACAGCACCAAAGATGAAAAGTCGGAACAAGCTGCGAAAACAACGATCATAAAGAATGGCAAAAACAAGAAGCATAGAAAATTACAAAATGGCGAACACAGACCAAAACAAAATGGCGAACGCAGACCGAAACAAAATGGCGAACACGCTAAATCTGAAAACAAATCTAAGGGCAAAAATAAAACGTTAAAAAAGAAGAACAAGAACAAATTGGCGCACAAAAAAGCTAAAACGTAAAATATGATAAATAGAAATTAGTATTGCTAGGTACTTTAAGATATGTAAGTTAAAAATGGTGATGTGAAATTTCTAAACTTGTTATTATGCCATATACCTAATGTAATAATCGCTTCCGATTTGAGGCTTTGGGTGTATTCCGAATCAAACACCAGTACGCTGGCCAGTGGTAATGACGTCATGATTTCGACGCCATATTGACAACACTACTACTACACCAGTGCGATATGGCGTGGAAATCATGACGTCATTACCACTGGCCAGCGCACTGGTTTATATTTCGGAATACACCCTTTATGTGTCAAATTCATAAGATTGGAAATTAATTATATAGATTTGAAAGATGACGCTTACGTGATGTTTACTGCACGAACCAATATCGAATTCGTATCGTTTGCGAGTACGAAATGTCATTGTCAAATGTGTACTGATTTTTAAGTTCTCGTTACGTACGTTATAGCGCTGCTGTTCAAGTTTCCATACAAAATTTTACAATGACATTTCGGACTCGCAAACTATTTGTATTCGATGTTGTTTCGTGCTGAGGGTACATTACCCTTTCTCTGTACTGTATAGTTATTCAAAATAAAACAGTTGTTCCCAAAAAAATATTGTTTTTATTTCTCTTGTGACATCAATAAACTATAGACACAATTCAAAATATACAGTCTTCTTCAATTATATACAGATATCATATAGCTACTACTGTAACAGCATCTTTTGTTATATAAAAAAATATAATATTCTTTTATCGTACCTACCTAAAGAATCTTATAGGCAATTCAAATAAATTCAATTTAGTATTCACTATGGCACTATACTACATAATATTAACAATATATAAGTATAGTTATATTAAACATTATCACTTGTTAGTAAGCCTCTTATTAAACACAAAATAAACTAGTTGTTTAACAATTAGGGATGTAACGATACTATCTAGATATCGATACTTTTACTCGATACTGTATCGGTCATAAAGTATCGATGCCTACTTGGTATCGAATGAAAAGTATCGATACATATTTGTATCGATAAATTTTGACGAACGGTATTACAATTGTAAATTCAGCCACAGTATTAATTTAACGAAAACAAAATAACCGCTCACGCCACGCAATGAACGAACGACTGATTGAATAAATTGGAATAAATATAAATCATACGCAAGGCTACCAACTGAGCAGTAAAAAAAATACGTTCGCGAAACAAAAATTCCAAGTAGACACCTTACCATAAAATAAATTATCTGCCTATGAGTTTTTTTGATACTTCTCAGTGAGTGACCGACCGAGTACTTACTTCACGATACTACTTGTTACTCATTTCTAAACTATCGATGCCAAAAGTACTTGGTATCGAAAGAAAAGTATCGAGTAGTTACTTGTATTTACTCGTATCGTTTCATCCCTATTAACAATCACTTTTGATACAACTTGAGAAATGGGGTGGGCGCTTCCTGTATTAGCCTAGAGTGTTTATTGTATAACTTAAACTCTTTTCACGAACACCTTATCTTAAAGCAAGTAAGACGAACTATCTCCAAAATGGCAAACAAAAGAAGTAAAGTAAAAATAACAAGGTCATTTTAAATATCATCATCAGCCTATTAGTGTCCTTCCCTATAGATGGAATAGGGAGATTGGGCCATGACCCACCACGCGGGCCCAGTGCGGATTGGCGGGTGCTAACGACTGCAGATGCAGCCGGGACCAACGGCTTAACATGCCTTCCGAAGCACGGAGGAACTCGAGATAGAAGATTTTTGGTCACCCATCCAATGATTGACCACTGCGAAAGTTACTTAACTTCAACGATCGCAGCCGAACGCGCTAATCACCCGCGAACTTAAAAATTTTGGCATAAGAGCTAACTATCTCTTATTATTTTTAATAGTACGCCTTAGGAAGTATTTAGAACAGTGTTTTCGGCTCTACTTATATTATAAATTCGTTGAGTATCGTTTAAATGATCGATATTACACCCATAAATGTAAACCACCAAACAAACATTTAACTGGTCGATTTTTATATTAAAATATTTTTGTAATAAAACTGTTTTATTTTTATATAGAAAAATGAACTCTGCATGGTACCAGGTTTTTTGTAGTAGGTATTTTTTTTTCTTTTTTATTAAATTTCACAGACACATTAAAATGTAGTTCTTATTAAAATATTGATTTATTATCGTTTAGTATATTTAACTTGCTTAGCCTCAGTTTTAATTGACATTGTAAATTGATTAACTCAAGAAATAATTTTTAATGTCCGAGTAAAGCATTTTTTTTTATTGCAACTGGCCATATATCAATGAGGGTGTGTTATAACTATATATGAACTTTCACTTTATCTCAAAAAAATATAAATACTAACTTATAAAAATAATATTTACATCACAACAAAAGCCAAAAGATATTTCTGTAAAAAAATATACATTAATTAAATATTTGGTATTAAAATCTTACTCTTATAAATTGAGATATTTACTTATAAAGATATTTTTTTTTTCACCAATTGTTTTCAGTGAATTCAGAAGTAACATTTTTTTATTACGAATACACACACTAAAAATATCTTTGTTTATAAAAAAATACAAACTCGATGCTCGCACATGACAAATTATATCAAAGCAAAATAATAGAACATATTTATCATACATTATAAATAATGGTTGAAAAAAGGTATGTCTTATGCGAACATAGCTATGTTTTTAAAACTTAAAGATTGATACTTTTAAACAAAACTTACTTAAAACATAACTGATATTGAATAATTAAAAAATAGTGCTTAAATTAAGCCTCATTAGCAGCCGTTTCTCGTACTTACTTATAAGTTTAAATATATTATTATTATATATAATTATTAAGTTAATTATTATTATATTAAATATAATTGTAGACCAATACTTATTTAGCATCTTTGGGTAAAAAGATTGGCTAAACTGTACTTCCAGCGCCCAAGTGAAGATACTTCACACTAGGTTAGGTTAGCGTTGTGACCATAACGCGTGAGCCGAGCGAGCGTAGCGAGCGTGCCGCGGTAGCGGCCGGCAAAACGCCAGAAAAAAAGAATTTTTAAGAGACATTTTCTACAAAAACGTTCGAGTCACCTCTTGCGCCCTGGAAGTACAGTTTTACCAAAAGATTTACTTATATCAAAATAAGCTGCCGTTATTTTATAAAAAAAAATGGTTGCCTGTAAAGTCGGTTTTACGGGCGAAGATTTTACGTGACAACGTCTTTTTCTCGGTAGAATATTTATTGATATGAATATAATTAAATTGCACAATAGGAACAAGGAATTGAATGAAAATAAGAATTGCACAAATTTTAACTATAGAAATATATTTTGTTTACTAAAACATTGTACATGTAAACTTAAACTTAACACGAGAGACTCATCGTAACGTTACCGAGCGTTACACTTTTTCATAAGTGACTCCCAGCCGCAACCTAATTTAAGACGTTGTCACGTCAAAAAAATATATTTAAATGATGGCATATAAATCAATTTCTAAGATTAGTTTAAGTTGTTCCCCGTTCATTATTTATTGTAATATGTAGATACTTTATTATATAATTCATTTCTACCCTCATAGTTGCTCTTAATTATTCAGACGCCGTAAACTCTTATGGTATATCTAGTACAAAAGCACATAAGATAAATTAGTTTTTCTAAAGCAACAAGTAAAAATAATATTTTCATATTTTAGAAATATTTTCAATCAATGCACCATGTAAAAAATAACAATATTGAACATCCAAGATTAAACATTTTGGCCATAGAGATGGTTACGGACGCTATTCCCAATAATACATAACTCAGATCAAATTATCCAAAAGTTTTACATCCCTTCATCTGATTTTATACCTTATTGCGCTTGAAATAAGAATCGCAATGTAGTGTGACAAAATATACACTTTACTGTTAGGTACTTGACGCGTCGTTGACTACATGTTGAATAACATTAACCATACCAAAAGACACCTCATTATTACGAATTTAACCACAATTCAATTCAACACCTACAAATAGTTGTGTATTCAGAAATTTTTCCTCAAAATCTTTCCAAATAGCACAACAATTAATAACCATCCAAACCACAAACAATTATAATTTAATAGATCCAAACGCATTCCTAATCATTAAGTTTTTAAATGCTCGATTCTGACAGAATCGTCGTAACAGGCTTTAATAATATACTTTTCACCAAAATCACCTAGTTTTAAACACAGTACGATTCACTTTTTAGTTATCACATAATCCACTTTAGAAACAAAAATATAATCGTTTCTTAGGTTTTTTTCACTCATTAAATAAAACTAGTTTTTACGGGTTAATGCATGAAAACTTTATTTATTTATTGACGTTTCTTCGAAGGTAGCTCGACAAATTAAATAAAAGTTTTATTCTGACGACGTAGCCTGTAAAGACTACGAAACGTCAATAAATAAATAAAGTTTTCGTGCATTAACCCGTAAAAACTAGTTTTATTTAAAAATATAATCTTCACATTTAACACACTTTTACAGTCAACTTTAGGCCTTTATTCACCTAACCAATCTCGTGGCAGTCTTTAACACTTCGGAGTATTCATATTCATACACTTCACCAATCACAGAGCAATCTTTATCACTTCTCCGAGTCCTAGTTATTCGCACAGCCAATCGCAAGGCAACCGGGGCATTTTATTGGCAGGCCAGGGCAAATAACCTGCCGTTTTAAACACCCAGTAGTCGTAGGAGACCTTGCTTATAAGCAACACGAACACAAGTACTTCCAGCCCAATGATATAGTATATGTAATCCGTCCAGTCTCGCGGTGTATGACACACACGGGATTCTATCAGGTCTACCACGGGGCCAAGGCCGTCCTGACAGTCGAGGCCCTTGTAGTCCGGGATGTTCTTGAAGTTCTCCTGGAGCCACGGCTGGAAATTGAATGCAATCATCATCATTAGCCTATTACCTATAGATAGAACAGGGTGAATGGACCATAGATAGATACATAATTCTTTAATTGAAGTGAAACTTCTTTATCGGCGCGCGGCGTTGGAAAAAAATTTACCGTCACATTTTTCGGTTACGCGTCACATTTTTCCGTTACGCGCCATCTTTTTTTATATTAATAGTTGATAGCTGAATGATCACACTGTCGCCGGCGAGAACTCTCTCTACTCGTTTGTAGCTGAGTGACAATAGTTATTAAAGATAAGACTCGCTCAGCCAAATTCGCATAGCGATACTCGCTCAGCGGTACTCGCTCAGCGATACTCGCTCAGCGATACTCGCCCAGCGATACTCGCTCAGCGATTCTCGCTCAGCGATACTAGCTCAGCGATACTCGCTCAGCTATACTCGCTCGGTTAAGCTGGCTTGGCTGTCAAAAGCCGTGCGCGTGCATTTTAACTCAGGACTGCCAATTCGTTTCTAGTTTCTACTCGCTTATCGTTCATCGTCGGAGGTGGAACATGTGCCTTAGATTACTGAGCCGTGTAATCAAAACAGTTTCATAGGCAGTAATTTGTATTCATGTCTATGATAATAAAATCCTTTTGTTTAAACTTTATCTAATTTAACTTTATTTAACCAATTTCTGGAAAGTTGCATGTAGATCATTTTGCGAAAAATAAGGCCATAAAGAAGTTTCACTTCTTACGTGTGTACACTAGTACACGCACACATTTTTCTTTATTGAACACACCACATTATAAAAAAGCTTATTATAAAGTGTCTGATTATATTACAGACAAAAATGCTTGGGTTTGAACTGTTCCAATCATTCCAACAGGTTTTCTATATTAAATAAATCATAATTGTATTGACGTTGTAACAACATAATGATTTGTAAATGTTGTTACATTAGACTTTTAATGTTGTGGAGTTTTTTTCGCTCGTTTTTCTCCGCAGCTAAAAAATATGTCCTTAACGAGTGGTAGGGAAAAAAAATGTTGGACGATTCAAAAGAGTTGTACTATACATCCAATTTGAATAAAGATATATTTATTTCTGATTTGAAAGTACAAAGTTTGGACAATAATTTAAAAAGGTGGACAATTGGCGGTCTTATGGCTATGTAGCCATTTCTTCCAGACAACCATAGGATGGAAAGACGAAATTTAATTAAAGAGGGGGTGTGCCATTACAAGACTAAAATAGAAAATATAATAAAAGAGAAAACAAAATATAACCATGATTAAAATTACTGTTGACATTATAAAATAGAAACTGACAAAAATCAAATAAACAAACAAGAACATACATCGGAACATAAAATAAAATATTCATTTTTAATAAATTTAATAATAATAATTTGATGCAGGCAAAGAACAGGGAGAATGCATGGGAACAACACAAACAATTATTGTAAAAGGAAAAAATCCTTTACCTCACTTTTAAACTTTTCTATAGTCTGTGCCACTGCCGGATTTAGGGGAGGGCAACCGGGGCGAAAGCCCCGGGGCCTCCACGAACGGGGGGCCCCACAATAGAGAGACTTCGGAAAAAAAATCTTTCAAATTCCAACTAATAAACACTAGTAAACATCTTTTCCTTTGATATTTTTTTTTTGCTCTATTACCTTTACCCAGGGCCGAATTTAAGGCAGGGCAGTTGGGGCTGTGGCCCAGGGGCCTCCACAACAGCTTAAGAAATAACAACATTTCGATGGGTCAATAAGCATACAAATCCTAAGTGGCCCGGGGCCTCCACAATCCTAAATCCGGCCCTGGTCTGTGCACGTCTAATCTCAACAGGAAGAGAATTCCAGAGGCGCACAACTTCAACACAAAAAGAATATTTATAAAAGGAGGTATTGTGTATATGTAGGGCTGCCATCTCTAAAATGTGGCAACCAGGATCAGAGGCGTGATAACCCCGGATTTTGGAGCCCAGAACCCGGACAGACCAATAAAAAAACAGTTAAAAATGTCACAAATCAACTTTTTTTGTTGATGTAGGCAAAAGAGCTAGCTGTCTACCTCATAATAAGTGGTCACTGCTGCCCATGGACACTTGCAGCACCAAGGAAAGCTGATCTTTGTTGGAAGTCTGCATTTATGGTTACAGTATTAGAATAGATTTATTCATTTTCAAACACATTTAATTGACGGATTAATTGGCAACCCAAAACAGGAAATTTTTAAACCCGGACGACAAATGAAACCCCGCCCGGACGCCCCGTAAACTAGGACAAATCCGGGGAAACCCGGACGGATGGCAGCCCTATGTATATGTGACGATGTGGGTCATGGGCCTATTAAAATAAGCCATCCATCCGATGACCGGCTATCGGAACGCGCCAATCACTTGCATCATCGACCTCCTCCGAATACAATAAGGAATTGGTTCTGTATTCATAACATATTATAGGACCACTAGCAAACCAGTGAACCAAATGTTCACCAAAAAAAAAAATGTATTTAATTAATTGAGAACTTCGGAGATTTTGTGTGGTTTCGTTTGAAATAGAAATCACGTGATTTCTCGAAAACCGGAAGTGCTACGTTACTCACATCCGGTTTGTAGTCTTATCAGACTATTCTTAACTTATAACTTAAACATTCTCTATACCTATCTCTTACGGTTTGGCCGCTGAAACAGCACCACGGACGGACGGACGGACTTGTCTATTAGATAAGAGACTAGCAAACCAGTGAACCAAATGTTCACCAAAAAAAAAATGTATTTAATTAATTGAGAACTTCGGAGATTTTGTGTGGTTTCGTTTGAAATAGAAATCATGTGATTTCTCGAAAACCGGAAGTGCTACGTTACTCACATCCGGTTTGTAGTCTTATCAGACTATTCTCAACTTATAACTTAAACATTCTCTTTATCTATCTCTTACGGTTTGGCCGCTGAAACAGCACCACGGACGGACGGACGGACTTGTCTAATAGATAAGAGATATTTTTCGCAATCAAGAAATCTGATCAATGTAATGAAAATGTTAGGTAATCTAAAAGCAAAGAGGAAACCTTATTTTTAAAGATGCAACAAACAGGAAATACTTGATTCTCATACTTGCACTGGTGTTATTAAGAGTCTGCAATATGTTCAGGATCTTTCCTAGGATGTTTACCTTGATCATCTTCTCAGCGTTGCAGTCGCAGATGATCTGGTTGCCGGCGATGGACAGGATCGGGCCCGTCGTGTCGAAGCGGTTTGACAAGACGTATGTGTGGATCTGTAATAATAATTGCGGTAAGGAGATTGCTCAGCTTCCATACATGTTTTGCCTAAAGACCAATAATCATGAAAAAATGTTTCCTAGATTCGAAATTATGTATAAATTACTGTAGAAACGAATATTCTTGAACGTATATTAAGCTAGCAGACCATGGTCGCAACGCGCACATCTAACCTACTGGGTATTTAGTTGCTAATTAGTTGCTAATTAGTTACACTATTCCCGATTTAGTTGCTCAACACCTGTAAAAGATACATGCGATCTGCTAGCTTAAGTCTTAACCTAGCAGACCACAATACTGTATCTTCGGTTCTCGTAAAGATATCGAAGTTCTGCAAACGGCATATTTAGTTGCTAATTAGTTGCTGTAGGACAGCATTATTTGTTTTATCCCCCCATCATCCCTTAATTGCCGCACCAGCACCCACACTACCCCCGAAATACGAAAAATTTAAAAAGGGCTCATCAGAGAATATAAACTACGGCGTATTTCGTTGCTTATTAGTTGCTGCAAAATAGCGTTGCTTATAGTATTTAACTATCAACCCTTAACTGCAAATCAGCACTGCAACCACCCCCGAATAGGACGATATCGGAAAATTCTCGTAGGTGGAAAAAGAGGCGGCATATTTAGTTGCTAATTAGTTGTTTGCCAAAAACGCAGTTAAGAGTATTCTACAATCATCCCCTAACCTCAGATGCAACCCCTCTACTCACTTAGAAACAGTAGATGGTTAAAATTCGCACGCAGATGTTTAAGACTGCTGGATGTTCTGTTGCTAATTAGTTGCTCGCCAAAAACGCAGATAAGAGTATCCTACAATCATCCCCTAACCTCAGATCCATCCCCTCTACTCACTTAAAAATAGTAGATGGTTGGAATTCAAACGCAGACGTTTAAAACTGCTGGATATTTTGTTCCTAATTAGTTGCTGCGAAAAAGCGTTGCTTATAGTATTTAACTATCAACCCTTAACTCCAGATCAGCACTGCAACCACCCCAGAATAGGACGATATCGGAAAATTCTCGTAGGTGGAAAAAAGACGCGGGATATTTAGTTGCTAATTAGTTGCTCGCCAAAAACTCAGTTAAGAGTATTCTACAATCATCCCCTAACCTTAGATCCAACCCCTCTACTCACTAAGAAACAGTAGATGGTTGGAATTCGCACACAGATGTTTAAAACTGCTGGATATTTTGTTGCTAATTAGTTGCAGAAAAATAGCGTTGCTTATAATATTTGATTATCAACCCTTAACTCCAAATCATCCCAGCTGCCACCCTTATGGGTACAAAAAATGCGGGATATTTTTCTACAATCGTCTCTTCACCTCAGATCGACCATCATTTTCTCTTTACAATAAAAAATCCAGAATACGCTCGTAGATGTATATTACTGCAGAATATCTTATTGCTAATTAGCAACTAAATATCCCGCCGCTTTTTTCCACCTACGAGAATTTTCCGATATCGTCCTATTCAGGGGTGGTTACAGTGCTGATTTGGAGTTAAGGGTTGATAGTTAAATACTATAAGCAACGCTATTTTGCAGCAACTAATTAGCAACAAAATATCCAGCAGTTTTAAACATCTGCGTGTGAATTCGAACCATCTACTATTTTTTAGTGAGTAGAGGGGGTGGATCTGAGGTTAGGGGATGATTGAAGGATACTCTTATCTGCGTTTTTGGCGAGCAACTAATTAGCAACAGAACATCCAGCAGTCTTAAACATCTGCGTGCGAATATTAACCATCTACTGTTTCTAAGTGAGTAGAGGGGTTGCATCTGAGGTTAGGGGATGATTGTAGAATACTCTTAACTGCGTTTTTGGCAAACAACTAATTAGCAACTAAATATGCCGCCTCTTTTTCCACCTACGAGAATTTTCCGATATCGTCCTATTCGGGGGTGGTTGCAGTGCTGATTTGCAGTTAAGGGTTGATAGTTAAATACTATAAGCAACGCTATTTTGCAGCAACTAATTAGCAACAAAATACGCCGTAGTTTATATTCTCTGATGAGCTCTTTTTAATTTTATCGTATTTCGGGGGTAGTGTGGGTGCTGGTGCGGCAATTAAGGGATGATGGGGGGATAAAACAAATAATGCTGTCCTGCAGCAACTAATTAGCAACTAAATATGACGTTTGCAGAACTTCGATATCTTTACGAGAACCGAAGATATAGTATTGTGGTCTGCTAGGTTAAGACTTAAGCTAGCAGATCGCATGTATCTTTTACAGGTGTTGAGCAACTAAATCGGGAATAGTGTAACTAATTAGCAACTAATTAGCAACTAAATATGCCGTTTGCAGAACTTCGATATCTTTACGAGAACCGAAGATACAGTATTGTGGTCTGCTAGGTTAAGACTTAAGCTAGCAGATCGCATGTATCTTTTACAGGTGTTGAGCAACTAAATCGGGAATAGTGTAACTAATTAGCAACTAATTAGCAACTAAATACCCAGTAGGTTAGATGTGCGCGTTGCGACCATGGTCTGCTAGCTTAATATACGTTATTCTTGACGGACACCCCTGAGAACTTCTATAAACCATATACACTGAACATATTAAAATAATAAAAAACAAATAAGTTATATAGTAAACTAGGGAAATCAAGCCAAGTACCCAAATTATGGATTAGATTCAGGTATATAGAGCATGTAGATTAACAGATAGTTGCCTGTTTTTAAAGTTAATTCATAAGAGTAACTTTTATAATCAGGTGTCATTTCCGGTTATAATAAGGTACTCTGTGACAGAAACTGTGTGAATGAGCCACAGATTAGAGAGAATTTTTAAACTCTCGTTAACCAAAGAAAGCTAAGAGATTTAGGTTCTATAGCCATATATTCAGAAGCTTCATTATTTTTGTTATGTTTTAAAGATAACCATAGTTTAGATTTTTAGTGTATCACACCTTATAATTTTATTTTTTTATTAATTTATAGTCAGGGAACGCAGGCCCATAGATAGATACCTTAAAGTCTACAGATATACAGATTATAATGTGTTTATGGAGGTGTTTGGCGAAAAATGTATGGCAATAGACTTTATGATGTCGCCTACCATCTATAATAATTGTCTGAGCACATTTGCATCTAGTGAAAATGATAATATAGTTATAGATATTAATACCACAGTGTAATAAAAAAAATGATTTATTTTATCGATCTTTACAAAATAGATTTGTTTTTATGTTATATAAACAACTTCGATCAGTCTTTGGCTGAATGTTACTACACCCATAGCCATTAAAAATGATTCGTATATTTTCCAAACCGGTAAAATTAAAAGTCCTTTTTAAAGTAAATATATTATACAAAGGTGTCCGTTGAAATGTAATGACTGTAAATTTAATTATAAATTACGCCAAAAATTACCGTGTATGTCAATATTTTTTGTGCATTTAGGCCAATTTGAGCAATCTCCTTTCTTCTCCATGCAGTGTTTTAAAAATAAAATACGAAATTTGACGACCTCCGTGGCCGAGTGGTTTGTTCGCCAGATTTTATGGTGTCGCCGACTCGAGAGGTCCCGGGTTCGAATCCCGGCGGGGGCAAATGTTTGTGTTATGAATACGAACATTTGTACTCCAGTCATGGATGTAAAATATTTATTTTTATATAAATATACTTATATATGTACAGTATACGTATTCTATCCGTTACCCTAGTATCCCATAACACAAGCCTTTAGAGTGCTTACTTTGGGGCTAGGCTAATGGGTGTGTTTAAAAAAAACTAAATCTCAATGTCAAACCTTCGATAGATATTGAATCATCTACGGGGGTCCGTACGTATGTACGTATGCGGAAAATCACGGGCGGGCATCAGATGAAAGGTGCAGGAATATTGTCTCTGGTTTATGGGGTTAGCAGGATAGTGGGAGAAAGAGACACAATGAGTGGGAGCAGGATAAAATGAGCGAGGAGGAGTCCTCACACATCCACGTCGCAACTCACAGAGGCAAGGAAAGTAATGATACTATACTTTTTTTTTAAATAAAAATCATAAGCCTTCCTTAAAAAAAAGTCATAATGAATCATCATCATAATCAGCCTATTAATGTCCCAACTGCTGGGGCACAGACCTTCCCTTTGGATGGACAGCGAGACTGGGCTGTGACCCACCACACGGGTCCAGTGCGTTGGTGCTAATGATTACAGATGTAGCCGGGACCAACGGCTTAATGTGCCTTTGTCTACCTTCACAGATAAGCTCTAGATAATAAGTTTTCGGACACCCATCGAATGACCGACCATTGCAAAACTTATCAAACTATCTCGATCGCTAACTACCTGTGCCAAAACTCAAAGGTGACTGACTGACATAGTGATCTATCAACGCACAACCCAAACCACTGGACGGATCGGGCTAAAATTTGGCATGCAGGTAGATGTTATGACATAGGCATCCGCTAAGAAAGGATTTTGATCAATTCTACCCCCAAGGGGATAAAATAGGGAATGAAAGTTTGTATGAAACTTTGTCAATTTTAAACCGATCGGGCTGAGACTTTGCTTGCAGGTATAAGAAGAATCATAGATTAATGTCATTGTGTATAATACAAGCCTAAGAACAAAAACTGTAGTCTATACTTCAGCTCTACACCGAAGCGAAGCGAGGGAGGTATAAGAATAGAGTAGGGGAGATATAGACTCTACTACAAGTGGAAGTGTCCCTCTAATAGAAAGAGAAAGAAGGTGAGAGACCGCTAGCTTTTTTTTTCTAATCTCGCATGCGCTTTGGCAACCGTAAGCATTTTACTACTTCGATGTGATGCCATTGGATAGCGTTCCTCATCTTCTTTCTCTTTCTACTAGACGGACACTTTTAGAGTCGCCTTCCCCACTCTATTCTTATACTTTTATTGCCAACAAGCATTTACTAACCATACGCGTTACAGATAGCTCTCTATGCAGAGGATGTCTGGAAGCAGATGAAACGACCGCTCATGTGATCCTGGAATGCACGAGCGTTGCAGAACACCGGGCATCAATCCTCAGGAAGCCGAGGACGCTCCTAGAAGCCTGCGAGAGCCCCAGGAGGCTACTGCGCTTCTGGAAGGAGCTGGGCTGGCTGAACTAGCTAGCCCAACACACCCTGCACGCACAATGGACCAAGTACGGAGTCTGCGTGCGGAAACGGGGGCCCACAACAAGTAACAAGTAAGTAAGTACTGTGACGTCCGAAACGTTACAGCCTCCTTGTTTAGGTAAACTCTTTGCTTTTGCAATGCCTACGGTTGGCAGTTATATTAAAAAGATAATGTCATGATTTTAAGATTTGAAATGAGGAATCGTCTGTCTTTTGATAGAAGGTTCCATTCAAGATTAGATCTTCAGGCACCAAGAACTTCCTCTCGTATTTAGATAAAAATTCTTTATAATCGCCTGAATGATAATATAAAATAATAACCATCGTCTAGTTGTTTTACTGAAGAGTCACGTCCCCAGGTTCTATCCATTCTGGGTAGAACTCTATAGTACCTTTATGGCCGTCAAGCCTTAACGAAGCAAAATAAGGAACATCACCGTACCGTCTTGAGTTTGTTGTGGCTGATGGAGAAGACCATGAAGTTGTCGATGAACTTGGTGCCCTCGAGCGCCACGATGTTGGTGACGTCGTTGTGGTCAACGAACAGCTGGCGGAGGTGCTCGTAGCTCGGGTCGTCGCCCACTGCGCCCAGCGACGTGATCTGCCGATATAAAATCATCATCATCATCATCAGCCTATTAATGTTATTCAATTATTTACTACTAGTGGCCCGCCCTCGCTTCGCTTCGGTGTTGAGCTGTAGTGTAGACTAAAATGACTCTTCATATAATAATAAAAAAAAAAACTGAAAATCGTATCAAATATAATCAGAATGCTCCGATCTGCTAAGCTATCAGGAGTTACACGTGTTATTGTGAGTCAACCATAAAAGATAGACATATGCTGTTGCGGGATATTTTTTAGATAATTTTATGTAAAATATTTCCGTCATACATGATTTCTATGTAACTTTAACCATTAAGGCTGCACACGCGACGGAAGCTTAAAAATGGAGTAACTTCTCCCGTTTTCCCAACATTTCCCTTCACTGCTCTGCTCCTATTGATTATAGCGTGATGAAAAGTATACTATAACCTACCCAGGAGTATGAAGAATAATTGTACCAAGTTTCGTTAAAATCCGTCGAGTAGTTTTTGTTTCTATAAGGAACATACACACAGACAGACAGACAGACAAAAATTTTACTGATTGCATTTTTGGCATCAGTATCGATCACTAATCACCCCCTGATAGTTATTTTGAAAATATATTTCATGTACAGAATTGACCTCTCTACAGATTTATTATAAGTATAGATTAATATTGAGCATAATAACAATAAATGGTTAATTCCATTTAGTTATCAAGTTATAATGTGTTTGTGTGTGTGTGGAAATTACATAAAATGTAAGTGGTTTCTCAATATTTTAACTATAACTTTTTATTATTATTTTATTGGACACTTAATTGCTGTGTGTTTGAATCTGGGGAAACCCACACAGAAAGATGTTTTTTTAATTTAGTTTTCTTTTCTTTTGATTTAGACTTAAGCTATCTTAGAAAACTATGGTACTAGTTAAAAATAGCTTTAGAAGTTTATTTATGTTTATTGCCAACCAAGGTATACTGTAACAATTTTATGAATAAAATTCTATTCTATTCTATTCTAATGTCCCCACTGCTGGGGCAGAGGCCTTCCCTATGGATGGAATAGGGAGATTGGGCCATGACCTACCACGCGAGCCCAGTGCGAATTGGCGGGTGCTAACGACTGCAGATGCAGCCGGGACCAACGGCTTAACGTACCTTCCAAAGCACGGAGGAACTCGAGGTAGAAGATTTTTGGTCACCCATCCAATGACCGACCACTGCGAAAGTTGCTTAACTTCAACGTTCGCAGCCGAATGCGCTAACCACCCGCGCCATCGAGTTCCTCGATATAAAATACGTACTGTTATTGAAAGCCGACCCTATCTGCTTTAAAAAGAACAAATATTTCCCGGATATTGTTTTTTTTATTTATATAAATCAGGCTACGTAGGCCCAAAGATAAATACCTTATAAGCACTTAATTAACATGTATAGACGGCGACGTGTGACGCGGAGTGATGTCAGGTAACCGGCCTCGGAACCGCCGGAACACGACACCTTTCGGCCAAAGATCAGGTAACCGGGCCTCGGAACCGCCGGAACACGACACCTTTCGGCCAAAGATCAGGTAACCGGCCTCGGAACCGCCGGAACACGACACCTTTCGGCCAAAGATCAGGTAACCGGCCTCGGAACCGCCGGAACACAACACCTTTCGGCCAAAGATCAGGTAACCGGGCCTCGGAACCGCCGGAACACGACACCTTTCGGCCAAAGATCAGGTTACCGGCCTCGGAACCGCCGGAACACAACACCTTTCGGCCAAAGATCAGGTAACCGGCCTCGGAACCGCCGGAACACAACACCTTTCGGCCAAAGATCAGGTAACCGGCCTCGGAACCGCCGGAACACAACACCTTTCGGCCAAAGATCAGGTAACCGGCCTCGGAACCGCCGGAACACAACACCTTTCGGCCAAAGATCAGGTAACCGGCCTCGGAACCGCCGGAACACAACACCTTTCGGCCAAAGATCAGGTAACCGGCCTCGGAACCGCCGGAACACGACACCTTTCGGCCAAAGATCAGGTTACCGGCCTCGGAACCGCCGGAACACGACACCTTTCGGCCAAAGATCAGGTTACCGGCCTCGGAACCGCCGGAACACAACACCTTTCGGCCAAAGATCAGGTTACCGGCCTCGGAACCGCCGGAACACAACACCTTTCGGCCAAAGATCTTCCTTCATGAAAGTCGCCATATGTTCCGTGTTGGTACACTCACCACGAAGGAATCAAAATACACATTGTGACGGGACTCCAACCGCGCGACTTTCAGGGAGAACTTGGTATTATTGGTATATTCAAATACCGGATTCGAAAATGTCATTCATGATTACCGAAGCCAGATTTAAAAAGATAAAATAATGTAACGGATGTGTAAATATAGTATAATGTTACGGTCGCTCTAGAACCAAGATTTACCCAGAAAGCCGCGGCTCGCGACGTGAATGACCTCGATGAAGGCCAAGTGGTGCAGTCCATTCGAATATGAGCCTTAGCAGTGGGGCGTAAGGCCGAAAGCGCAATGACATCTGCTTATTAGTTTACAACTCAAGCACACTATCTACATATAAGTACTCATCGGTGTTAGTGAACTGTCAATTCATCTAGACTTTTTTGGATTCGGTTCGAATCGCGGGTGTTTGGGGGTAGAGATGGTTCCGACTGAAGTCACCGACCTGGTAGAAAACCAGGTCGTTGACTTATACCAGCAGCTATGATAGTTTAATACACTCATTCTGTTATAAGGCACGTTAGGTTTGACGATGTTTGGAGGCAGATGGGTGGGCACATGTTGACCTTTTAAAAGCAGCTATGTTTGCTATACTCACATTGTTATAAGACAACAGACAGACAGATTACAAGACATTTTGATCTGAGTGGCGTGCATTTGGAGAGGCCTTTGTCCAGCAGTGGACTAAGATGGGCTGTTGATGATGATGATGATGTTGAGTTTGCCGATGTTGGGCGGCAGATGGCGCAGGTGTCGGTAGGAACAGTCTACGGCCACGAGGTTAATGACCTCATGTCAGCAGCTATGAGAGTTCATCACATTCACGTTATTATAAGACACGTTGAGTTTGACGGTGTTATGCGGCAGATGGCGCAGGTGTCGGTAGGAACAGTCTACGGCCACGAGGTTAATGACCTCATGTCAGCAGCTATGAGAGTTCATCACACTCACGTTATTATAAGACACGTTGAGTTTGACGGTGTTATGCGGCAGATGGCGCAGGTGTCGGTAGGAACAGTCTACGGCCACGAGGTTAATGACCTCATGTCAGCAGCTATGAGAGTTCATCACACTCACGTTATTATAAGACACGTTGAGTTTGACGGTGTTATGCGGCAGATGGCGCAGGTGTCGGTAGGAACAGTCTACGGCCACGAGGTTAATGACCTCATGTCAGCAGCTATGAGAGTTCATCACACTCACGTTATTATAAGACACGTTGAGTTTGACGGTGTTGGGCGGCAGATGGCGCAGGTGTCGGTAGGAACAGTCTACGGCCATGAGGTTAATGACCTCATGTCAGCAGCTATAAGAGTTCATCACACTCACGTTATTATAAGACACGTTGAGTTTGACGGTGTTGGGCGGCAGATGGCGCAGGTGTCGGTAGGAACAGTCTACGGCCATGAGGTTAATGACCTCATGTCAGCAGCTATAAGAGTTCATCACACTCACGTTATTATAAGACACGTTGAGTTTGCCGATGTTGGGCGGCAGATGGCGCAGGTGTCGGTAGGAACAGTCTACGGCCATGAGGTTAATGACCTCATGTCAGCAGCTATGAGAGTTCATCACACTCACGTTATTATAAGACACGTTGAGTTTGACGGTGTTATGCGGCAGATGGCGCAGGTGTCGGTAGGAACAGTCTACGGCCACGAGGTTAATGACCTCATGTCAGCAGCTATGAGAGTTCATCACACTCACGTTATTATATGACACGTTGAGTTTGACGGTGTTATGCGGCAGATGGCGCAGGTGTCGGTAGGAACAGTCTACGGCCACGAGGTTAATGACCTCATGTCAGCAGCTATGAGAGTTCATCACACTCACGTTATTATATGACACGTTGAGTTTGACGGTGTTATGCGGCAGATGGCGCAGGTGTCGGTAGGAACAGTCTACGGCCACGAGGTTAATGACCTCATGTCAGCAGCTATGAGAGTTCATCACACTCACGTTATTATATGACACGTTGAGTTTGACGGTGTTGGGCGGCAGATGGGTGGGCAGATGACGCAGGTGTCGGTGCGAGCAGTCCACGGCCACGAGGTTGGTGACCTCGTCTCCCAGAAGCTCCAGACGCTCGAACACGCAGCTGCAGTTGCTGTCCAGCGGCTGGATATTGCGGCAGTTCGCGTTCAACTGTAAAAAAAGATTTACAGTTAACTAGCTGACCCAGCGAACTTCGTACCGCCCTAAAAAAATAGGGGTTGTCCAGCGGACAAAATTGTGAATCTAAACCATTCTCAGATCCCCTTGAACACACACAAAAAATTTCATCAAAATCGGTCCAGTCGTTTAAGAGAAGTTCAGTGACATACAAACTCACAGAAGAATTATATATATAAAGATAGTGAACTTAAAGTGAATCAAAATGCTAAGGGAGAAGAAACTGGGTCATCTAGACATGGCGAGGCAGAGCTCGGAGCATAGACAAAAAAACGAGCGAGCCTTACAGTAGTCGCGTATGATGTGTAACATTTTAAAACCTCATCTTATATTAGTAATAAAAGAAATTAAACCTACTACAAAAGGAATAAGCCATATGAACAATATGTTCTAAAATCAAATCAAATAGCGCGCGCTTTCGCGACTTCCTGTTACACACTTCCGTTCCATTTGACGAAATCACTCCCACAAATTGCAGGAAAGCGAGAGAAAAGATGTTACACATCAAAAACTCAGTTGTTATTCGAACGCAAAGTACATACAATAAAGGTTTCACGGCTGTTGACATATTTGCTTGCAGAAGTAAAGCATCTTTTAAAAAACAACTTTTAGATCTGTTGGTTGATTAGTATTATACAAACAAAAATGAAACACACATGTATACATATATACTCACAAACACACACACATACACACACACACACACACACATATACAATAGCGCGCGCGCATTGCACACATCTCGCCCTTGTTTGGTAGAGGGTTTTCTAAACTATTATGCTATAACTAAAAAATGAAAATCCGTAATTGGCATTAAGATAAACTATATTGTAAAACCTGTATTATATTAAGAAAATGCTGTGGATTTTGGTCTAGAATTAAATAAATAAATAAATAAAATAAAATAAAAAAAGGAGCTGCTGTATTCAATGTTTGTTCACTGACGTCACACATTAATACGCTAAATACCTCTTAGCACAAGACGTGTTGATATCAGAGTTTGACTTTATTTATTGTGGCGATGGCAAGTTGACGCATATCACGAATTAAAAATCGTCAACTCGCCGGTCCGTCAGATTCGAAATGGCGAGATGACTACTATGCCAAAACTCGAACCTTGCGGTTTTACGAAGCTTTAGGGCGAGCTTGGGTAAACCTTCATATTCTGCCCGAGACCTCAGACAAGTTGTTGTCCCATTGTACTTAACGAATGCACTATTGGATTGCACTATCAACGCGAATCATCATCATCATCATCAGCCTATTAATGTCCCCACTGCTGGAGCACAGGTCTTTCCTATGGATGGAATAGGGAGATTGGGCCATGACCCACGACGAGCTAACGACTGCAGATGCAGCCGGGACCAACGCGAATAGTTATAAAGAATTTCTTTACATACCTACTCGTACTTATAAAGATAAGCTATTGGCGTTCCGTAATGCTGCCACGCCCCTCTAAGTGGCTTCTTTTGATTTCTTGGAAAAACCCCTATCCCCATAGACAACATCTCTGTATTTGATCCGTGAGGCAGAGAGCGGGGGTACTCTACGTTAGCGCCTGTAATCTATCCAGGCTTTTCATAAACACCTACCTCTTTGTGCACTTTGAGATGGTCGATCTGAACAATCTGCACGTCCTTGAACCAGTTGAACTGCAGATCGAGCGCACAGAAGGTTTGGTTGTACTGCAGGAACGTCACCAGAGAGATGTTGTTCGTCTCCATCGCTCGCTGGAAGTGCTTGCACGGCAGGTACTTGTTGCCTGTAACATATGAAATGAAACGAAATTATACTTAATTCAAATTGACTTATTGAAAGCTATTTTGAATCGTCCAATATTTTTTCCTACCACCCATTCAGGATAACCATTTAGCTGATGAGAAGAATGGGTGCAAGAAACCCATCAGCATTTAACAGAAGTAGCAATATTTACGAAAAAAGATCATGAAACTCCCAATACAACGCCCAACGTCCTATTAGGTATTACTGATTCACTATGTAAGTTTTTTTTAAACACTTATTTATTTAATATTACATTTTAAGTTGATGAACACAACACAATTCTGATGTAGGATTCGACAGTTGGCAGAGCAGGCCCATCGGAATCCGAGGCTGCGTCGAGATGCAGTCGGGGAGGTCGAATGGCAGGGAAAGACAGGGACAGGAGAGGATGGTTTAACATAGTGAGAGGCGAAAGAAGAGGAGAGGAAAGGAAACTAAACAGAAAATAAATAAAAGGTTTAAAGGATGGGAGCAAGAGTGTAAGGGAACAGGTTTAACAATCCTTCATGAAATCATGCCATTGACGAAATACATTCAATATTAAGTGTCTCACAGACAGACGCTGCCCGCGGCCGCGACAGGAGTCGTGGTGGTTGAATAAGAGATAATTTCAACTACAAATGCTGACAGTTTAATTATTATTATCGATATGGATTGTTATGGATATACTCCCGTTAATTGTATACTATATAGTAGCTTACGATAGCTTTGATTTCATTGTTTTGGAAAAGATTTAAGTTACAATGTCACATTGTCTTTCTTCTGTACTCTTGATGGGGATCGTGGAAGCAGTTTCAGCAGGACAATTTGCCCCCTGGTTAAATCCAATGGTTTTGGCAACGCTATTGATATTTCAGATGAATTCCTGTTATTTTTTATGGCAGATACAGCTTGGTAAAAAAATCATAATGCATTGTGGTACAATATTCTGTTTGAATGGAGGAGATTGGGTTGTGGCCGGCAAGGTCAATTTGTGGCGGCGACATCTACATGCCCCACATATAATGAACATAGATGAAATAGTCACTCGCCTCCTTAAGAGATGGCGCTACCGGCGCTGCGTTCACAACGTAAGGAAGCCTCCATCGCGCAAGTGAAATTCGGCAGAAACAGTTCACATATACGATGCCCGACCAACATCAGTCGGGCCGCGGCCCCCGAGCTAACATCACCCAACTCGGAGGAAGATCTTCCCCTTTGACCTTCCTTCCATCAAGAAGGCATACTTTTCTACCGCTTCAACTTATTCGTAACTTTGCTCCATTTAAACTTCAGATAGGGTGTGGTAATTTGCTGCGCCTTTTTACATAGAAAATCTTACCTGAAAGGTCGACAGATATCTTCTTGTTGCTGTGGACGAGACTCAGCGGGAACTCGGTGAGGTTGTTTGCTGACGCGTCCAGCACCGTTAAGTTGAACAGGTACGCGAACGGCCGCTGCGAGGACGGCAACTTGGCCGTCGTCAGATTGTTGTTAGAGATGTTCAGGCACGCCATCGAGGAGTACTTCGGAAACTGACCTGAATACGAATCATCAACAGGGTATTATTGATCGTTAATGATCTGCTGAACTGTAGCTTAATAGTGACATTTCATTTTATGTGAAACCAGTAGGGTATTTGACAGTATCTCTTATCTATTAGACAAGTCCGTCCGTGGTGCTGTTTCAGCGGCCAAACCGTAAGAGATAGATAAAGAGAATATTTAAGTTATAAGTTAAGAATAGTCTGATAAGACTACAAACCGGATTTGATTAACGTAGCACTTCCGGTTTTCGAGAAATCACGAATTTCAAACGAAACCACACAAAATCTCCGAAGTTCTCCATTAATTAAATACATTTTTTTTTAAATCCGGTTTTGGTGAACATTTGGTTCACTGATTTGCTAGTTTTAAATAAAGTGCCAATTGTTAGCATATGTGTTTAGAATGAATATTGGTAGGGGTTTTTTTCAACTATTTTTACAAAAAAAATATTCATAATTTTACTAAAAACCCTCGACGAAAAAAAAAATAGTTTTCTAATCTATTGTCACGTGAACCAAAACGTTAGGGATTGGCGGAGCCTAAAATGACGTCACACGCAAGTAAACTTCCGGTTAAAGTGACATTACATTGTATCATTTGACGTTTTAAATAACAGTTGTTTGACGTCACACACTAGTAAGACGCCATATTGTCCAGTGAAACGTTTTCGCGGCAACTGGAAAATGGAGTTTTTGATTTGGTTATTTTTATGAAATACACAACAGAATGATGAATATCCACTTTTTACGGACTCCATAAACATTAGCCAATAACGTGAGATCGTTTTCTAAAACTTGTCAAATACCCTATTAATAATTTTCTCTGATGAACACACAGATTTTGGACAACTGTAGGAGCACCGAGCTTTCAATATTCACGGCCAATTATAATCTAGCGCTTTAAAGTATAGCCATAATAATAGCTAACCACTACAATGTTATTTTTCAGTTCAAATTACATTTTAGATTTTTTTGGATTATACAATTTTTCTTCAGGGCTAACACTGCGGTTGTATTGCTATTCTGTAAGAACAATTTCACTTTTTAACGCGAAATTTGCCGATATGATATGAATTTTATATGAAAATCGTATTCTAATTTAAAATCACGATCACATCACAGCTGATTCCGCGGTGAATTAATGTGAGTTTGTTCTTCACTACAGAGAATGCGACGTTGTTCTTTTTGCGCTTAACGTAATGTTTTCGGATGAATGAGGAGCTCAATGGCGCAGGTGGCTAGCGCGTTCGGCTGCGATCGTTGAAGTTAAGCAACTTTCGCAGTGGTCGGTCATTTGATGGGTTACCAAAAATTTACTATCTCGAGCTCCTCCGTGCTTCGGAAGGCACGTTAAGCCGTTGGTCCCGGCTGCATTTGCAGTCGTTAGCACCCACCAATCCGCACTGGGCCCGCGTGGTGGGTCATGGCCCAATCTCCCTATTCCATCCAAAGGGAAGGCCTGTGCCCCAGCAGTGGGGACATTAATAAGCTGATGATGATGATGATGATGTAATGTTTTCACGACTATCTATGGATATATCATACTAGTGGCTTCCTGCGACTTCGTCTGCGTGGAAAGATTAGTTTTTCATGCAAACTTGCATCCTCTTTTTCACCCCCTTTAAAGGATGAAAGACTATTGGGATAAAAACTTCCCAGGACTCGAAACTATTTCTATGCCAAATTTTATCTAAATAAGTACCCTAAGCACGAACCATTATCGAATTCGAATAGTTTGCGAGTGTCATTATCAAATTTGTACTGATTATTAGTTCTAGTTAGGCCCGTAGTAGCGCTGCTATTCAAGTTTCCATACAAAATTTGACAAATACATTTCGGACTCGCAAACAATTCGAATTCGATATCCGTTCGTGCTAGGGGTACAGTTCAACGATTTAAAAGTATCATCATCATCAGCCTCTTAATGTCCCCAATGCTGGGGCACAGGCCTTCCCTTTGGATGGAATAGGGAGATTGGGCTATGACCCACCACGCGGGCCCAGTACGGATAGGCGGGTGCTAACGACTGCAGATGCAACCGGGACCAACGGCTTAACGTGCCTTCCGAAGCACGGAGGAACTCGAGATAGAAATTTTTGGTCACCCATCCAATGACCGACCACTGCGAAAGTTGCTTAACTACAACGATCGCAGCCGAATGTGCTAACCACCTATGCTATCGAGCTCCTCCTCGATTTAAAAGTGTAGAATAAGGTAACAGACGGACACACTTTCGCATTTATAATATTAGTATGGATTTATGAGCTCAACTGACCGGTGATCTTGCCGATGCTCCCGTCGGTGAGGGCCATGGAGGCCAGCCGCCGGAACACGGCCTGCGACACGTCCAGCTCGTCGATGCTCGCGTTCAGCACGTGGAGGTACGTCGTGTTCTGCGTTACTGGACAGAATATTAACAACGATATTAAATACCCTAGATTCACCAAGTGCGCTCAAAATGTGTCCCAATCAAGAAGTGCTTGAACACTACTCAAGCAAGAAGTGCTTGAGTAGTCAAGACGACTCATATCTCCGTGATAAAACATGAAAATGCGAAATAAATACTTATAGTACGTGAAGTGTCTTTTTTTAATAATCGTTTGTTAATTTAACTCATTCGAAGCAAATTTTGTTCTAATAGTTACTATAAACTGATTTAATAGAAAATATTTGTGATATTCAAATGCATGGTCAGTAATAAGGGTGTCTCTTTTCCTCGGGGTCTGTACCTGCTATATTGCTAACAGCGCATTCAGAATTGCGCGTTGATACAAATGAATAAGGTCTATATTCTTCCACATATAGCAATAGGTCGGAAAACTTTACGAGCTTGCATTTTGAACTGTCATAACTCTTTGACGCGTGCGGTTTAATTAAGACCTTATAGAGTATGTATTAAAGGTGCCTTTCAATGTTTAAATAATACCTTATATTGATTTTGACTACGCGATCATCTAACGGAGCTCCGTGGATTGTCCAATGTACCTTTTGAACGGGTTTGGGCCATGATTTTGTTCGTGATGTTGTATCTAGGGTATTTAATAACGGCGGTGGGGCGGCGGTCTGTCTACGTAGGTACCTAACCTTATACCAACACTTATGGTCACTCACCTTTTTGTCGCTTGATCAAGCTAAACTGACCGTATGTGAGACACTTTGAAAGAAAGTGCCACTCGACGAAAGGATTTTAGAACCTATTTGATCAAGCGGCATGATGATGAGTGCCCACCATTTGGCCCACGTGCACCAATATTCTATAATGAAATTAAGTGTCGCCACACGTGGGCCACCGACCACAACCACAAAACGCCGCCACCAGCATATTTCTTGTAGTTTTCATAAATTTTATATGGACTCGCCACACACGGTACGCCGGTGGCCGCCACACACTACAAATCGTCATTGCTCGCTTCTTGTGGCCCGCTACGGCCACTTAATGCGCCGATACAAAACGCCGCCACACGTCACTCGCGCGATTCCCCACCTCTCTCTCCCTTGCCTTAGTCGGCCGCCGTCGCGCGCTTCAGTCACTTTAGTAGTCGCTTCTAGCTTCTCGTGGCGGCGTTTGGGGCCCGTGTGCGGCGACACTAAGGCTAAAACCTCATTCCGTCTTTGTCGATTGTTATAAGTCAAATATAGAAGAAGGAGGCATTAACATTAGAAGTAAATTTGATTGAAGAACTGATGCAAATAGGCCAGGTTTAAAAACGAGGCGAGTGTTCTGAGGAGTAATTCTCCCTTATCACACCTACCCTTTTCATTCAGAGAACCACGCGCGCTGGTCTAAGTTTTACCAACTAACGGTGGCCAATATTCCAACGCAAACAAAAAAATGGTGACTCATTTCTTTGTCGTAATAAAGTATAATATTTATAATAAGTAGTATAAAGTATGTATAAAGTATAATATACTAACATGTGTATAAAAAAAGGGTTTTTACGAAAAGAACGAACTTGCACTCTCAAACACTAACACCACTACCAAATTTGCCAGAAATTACAAGGTGGAACTGCCAAGCAAAGAAACGTGGTCAAACGACTATGAATCCTGCAAGGCTGGAAGTCTAATCTGGTTTACAGATGGCTCCAAAATGTAGAATGAGGAATATACGGTGAAAGGCCGCGATTCAGCAAAAGCGTAAATGTCAGAAAACACGCTACTACATTCCAGGCAGGGCGGAGGGTTCTTGGACGGGGACGCCCAGGAGTCCCCTGCGCAGCGGACGGGGGGCGGTACGGTGGGCATTAGGCCGCGTACCCAACCCCCACGCGCGGGCCATCCTGCGCACGACTGCGGGGTCCCCGTGATACCCCGGGAGACCCCTGCCGCGGAGCCCCGGCAAGGCCGGGTCCCGAGCCGTGGTAGAATCCCTAACGGGGACCCCGACGCTTCCCATTAAGCAGTGTAGAAGGTATTCGCAGGACTTTTTAGGGGATATTATGCTGTAAAGCGCCCGTAAGAGTTGCCGGGTCCTCGGTGGTCAGCCACTGGGGGGTCCGTAAGACTTGCGGGAGCCAGGTGTGAGGTTCGTTCGTCGGTGTGCCTCTTAAAGCCGCCGTCGTCTGTAAAAAGTTTTTTTTCCTGCGTTATAAAAAAACGGCAGTGGTATATGCCATCATAGAATTTGCAGAAGCCAATCATCAACGAAACTACACGCTAAATCACTAATAGAGGGTTACTCGAAAAATCGGACTGTTGAGTAAATAGAACTTAGCAGGCCGTACACCCGTGCTATCGTAAGAGCCTTAACTGGACACAGCAAACTCAACAGACACCAATTTCATATGAAATTGAGTGACACTGATGTTTGCGGACATTTTTTTTTGTCTGGGAAATAAATGCTTTACGCATCCTTCAACCACCGGGGGAGCGAGAGGAAGGTATGTCAGACTCCTCCCTGCTCATTACAGCCAGCCCTTAGGCCGGGTGAAATGAGCAGGACCCTACCTAACGCCCTGAACAGGGTCACTAAAAACCAGACAATACTCCTGCACCGGTCACCCGGCGTACATTCTGAGGACCGCAGTCCTCTCAATGCACGCCGGGAGTGCGGGTGTGGTCGCGGCAACCGTTGCCGACTGTCCACGTGTTGCGGATACTGCAATCAGGAGCGTGAAACACTAAAACTCCTTCTATGTGAACTCATCCACAAACGTAGTATTCATTTGGGACGACATATAATACGCCCAGAAGAAATCAAATCTCTAAAAGCTAGAAACATTTCGAGCTTCTTGGAAGCCGTCGCGTCGGGCTAAAAGAGATACTTTAACTTGGTCGCGAGTCACAATAGATCTTATAGATCTCAGTGACTACAGTTCCATTAGGAGTGTGTTTCCTAACCTTTCCAATACTGCTCCCCTGTAACATATTAGGAAAACAGATTTTACCCCGACTTTAAAATGTTATCATCAGTCCAAGAAATATCAATTTGGCCGCTACATCTTCGTCTCTAATAATGTCATCGTCAGGAGAAAATCTCGCCCCGCTTCCCACACTCAGCACCCCACGGGCTCGCTAGCAAGAAGGAGCGCATGCTCTATTTAGTAATATTATTGTATAGTATTTATTTATTATTAAGATTTGACCAAATAATTAGGTTCTTTGTTACCCCCGAAGTATGGCTGATTTTTTCCCCAGTGGGGTAATTACCCCCAGGTTCGGAAACCAGGGTCTAGAAGCTACTTCCACTCTTGTCTTACCGGTCTGCATCCAATCTTCTACCACGTTGAGCAAAAAAATTTCAACACAACACCACTAAGAGGCTGTTGTTTTCACTGTGGCCTTTTATAAAGTGGACGTTACTTAGCCAGACGGGCGCTATAATCCGCAATGCCTTACCTTTTTTTCATTTATTTGATAATATAAACAAAATACAGTATTTAAGAGCCCTTTCACATTTTTTCCAAAAGCTCGAAATTTTTAACGCCTCGTTTACCCCCTTAGAAAAGATTTTGACTATTTCCAATAGAAGTAAACAGTACATTTATTCTTCTATTGTAAGTTCATGTAGAATATTTGCAAATATTATTTTCCTTTTTTTTGTACTGATCGTTCTACCGCAGCTAGTTTACGGAAAAAACGTTTAATATACACAATTTCAAACGCCTCAATCTCTCAATAATATGCAATAAATTAGATCAAATTAATTACTACGTCATCAGAAATATGTTTTTGTTGTAACATAATGTATTAGAATTTTAATTTTCTATCTCATTAATTAACAAAAAAAACATCTAACCTTCGTGAGATTTCCCAAAAAATAATGCAGGTTTACCTCGTATTTTGATATTGAATCATATAGAATTACTTCAAAAATTTTCATAATACTAATCTACCATCATTGAACTACTGAAATATGTATATGCCTTTATAATTAGTTCATTAATAATTATTTTATAAGACCCGAAACATCACCTGTAAATGCAATATATACTAGTGCAAATCTACCTACGTGCCGATCAGCACGGCAGCGGCGCAATTTTGTAAAAGGGCTCTTAATAAAAAGTAACGCAAAAACATACATTGGGTTTGGCCGTATATTGAGTCACTTAAGCCATGAATATACTCGGTTTATGTTTGAGTGGTTCGCAGCTAAAAAACCTGTTGCCTACAGGAATATTTTATTTCGATCCGGAATTGGCACGGCGCCTCGGCGCCATTGCCGGCCGGCGGGCGCTTCTATATAAAACGCATGCATTTTAAACTTGTCTGCTAACTCTTACAACGCAATGTAATCTATTCGAACGTTTAGGTATATATATGATGCGAGCTATCTAAACTATGCGGACAAGTCACTAATCTGGAGAGAACCTTTTTTCTTTTTGTTAATTGGCGGTGCTCTTCTGTGGAATTAATAAGCGAATTTTCATAACTCTAGGTTTTGCTAATGAGGTAAGTGTTAAAAATCTTGTGACTTCTAGTCAAACAGCAAAATATAACTAGAAAAAATTGAGGGCCGCGGTAGCATAATTGGTCAGTGCATTCATTGCGCACCCTTCGCAATCCGGGCGAATGTCTGCTGCCTGGTCCGCGTGGAATTTTTTCTAGTTATATTTTCTTTAGATTTAAACATCAAGCAGTTAGATGCTTTAAAATAATAAAAATTATAACTATAATTGCTATTTCTTCTTTCAAATGTTTAAATACTTGTAAAAGTATTAATTGGACATTGTGAGTTACCTATAATGCGAAGAGATAGCGCTGCCTTGCAGCTTAAGAATGGCTAGAACAATTTCGACGCGGTCCGTGAAGGCCGCGGTAGCATAATTGGCCAGTGCATTCGAGTGCGGGTTCGAGTCCCGTCTGCTGCCTGGTCCGCGTGCAAAAATTTTAGTTATATTTTCTTTAGATTTAAACATCAAGCAGTTACATGCTTTAAAATAATAAAAATTATAGCAAAGT